ACAAGGAAGAGCACATGCATCTCCAAGGTTAATGTACCACCATCATCTCGTGGCAGCAGATGCTAATTACAGGAAAACACACTGGAAGATCAAACAAACCAGGTCAAATTAACCATATTGCACATTTTGGATGAAACCAAGACTTAATTCCTGGAATATATTTTTAAAAATCACCAGGTGCTGATGGCTCAAGCCTGTAATCATAGCAACTCAGGAGGCTGAGACCGACCTGAAGACTAAAGTTTGAAGCTAGTCCAGGTAGGAAAGTCTGTGAGACTCTTATCTCCAATGACCATCAAAAAGCCAGAAGTGAAGTTGTAGCTCAGGTGGTAGAGCACTAGCCTTAATTAAAAAAAAAAAAAAAAAGCTCAGCTGGGTGCCAGTGGCTCATGCCTGTCATCCTGGCTACTCAGGAGGCTGAGATCTGAGGATCAGGGTTCAAAGCCAGCCTGGGCAGGAAAGTCCATGAGACTCTTAGCTCTAATAAACCACTAGAAAACCAGAAGTAGCACTGTGGCTCAAGCAATAGAGCGCTTGCCTTGAACTGAAGAACTGAGAGACAGCACCCAATCCCAGAGTTCAAGCCCCATGACTGACAAAAAAAAAAAAAAAAAGTGAGGGAGGGGGGTAGAGGTGGGGGTGGGAGATGGGAAGGGGAAACAAAGGAGGAGGCAACAATGCTTGATAAGAAATGTACTCATTATCTTGCCCATGTAATTGTAACCCCCTATACGGTATTTTCACAATTAAAAAAAAAGTTCAGGGACAGCACCCAAGACCCTGAGTTCAAACCCCAGGACCCCCCCCCCCCCATGTGCACAAAATCAAAATACTAGGTCAATATTTATTTTGTTGTACTATTTAACAAACATTCCCTTGAATAGATATTCTAGAATATCTGCATTTTTATTTCTAAGTATGATGTTTTTCAAAGTAACTTGGAGAATGAGAGGAATGGAGTTATAAAGGGATGCAAACTGATATTTAACCACAAGTGGAGATTAGGCCTTCTTGAACTCATAATATATTTCATCGGTAAGTAGGATCTGCACAACAGTTTTCTGGAATTTTGTTACTTTGTGAATTGAGGAATGCCTGTGTTTGTTATTAGTATGCTAGAGGGTTGGATCCTGGGACACTTTCCTGTTAGCATAATTAATATATCTCTGAGAAATTCACTGTGCAGCTGCTCTGGGCTGCATCCAACTCAGGCTAATATCTCCATACTGCTTTCTACAACTAATAAAGTCTCCGGAGTCCTCTTACTATGATTAAATACCAGCAAAGGCCTTGCCAAAGCCACTTAGTGAAGAACTGGCACGGTAGGTTTCCAGAAACAGAGTGGCCACAGGCAGTCAGAGCAAAGCTCAGAGTCAAGTTCAGTGGAAAATATGTCACATTTGAAAAGAAACAACGAAAGGCCCAGCGCTCATTTCCAGCATCGCGGATGCTGTGGTCCAGGCGCTGCCCAGACAGTGCTTGTGCGGGTGGACAGAATGTTGCCTGTGTCTTCTTTCCATTTCTAGTTCCATGCTACTCCTCCAGAAAACCCGAAGAGTTTTTGTTTTTTTAATTTTCTCTTTTATTCCCCCCAGTTATTTGTCCTTGCCACAATTATTTGGACGATGAGGATTGCTGGGACACAACAAAAGATCTTCCAAAACAAATACAATCATGTCATTTCGTAAACGTTAGAATACAAAATGTTTAGAAATAAGTCATCCTTGTGGCGAGTCAAGATTAGATCCTCGTGAGCCCAAAGCAGATCCAGTCTGGTGGTATCTTGGGATTTGTACACCAGAATGGTCCTTTCCCAAGATTTGTAGCCCAGTTGGAGAAGGCACACACACTTCCTTGGAAGTGAGCATGCTCCAGGTTCACTCCGCTGTGTGGCCTTCATTGGGGCTACAGGTAACCAGTAAGCAGCAACTGGGAATGAGGGTTCTGGGTGTCATTTTGGAGACCAGTGAGTTTGTAGCAAGGCTAATAACTAAGAAAGGAATTGTGTTGGTCAGTTTTCCCCCCAGCTGGATACTTTATAAAGAAAAGAAGTTTTTAACTCAGTGCTTCGAGGCTCACAAGCGTGCACAGCATCTGCTCAGCTCCTGCGCGACAGCTGCCATCGCAGATCGTGGATGGGCTTCATCAAGAGTGGTGATTGGCACATACACAAGAACATTTGGAGAGGTCAGGACTCCCTTAAAAGATCCCATTCTCACAGGAAGTAAACCAGTCCAAAGAGGTCTGCATCAATCCTCTCTTTCTTTTTCTGTCAGTCATGGGGCTTGAACTCTGGGCCCAAGCGCTGTCCCTCAGCCCTTCAGCTCAAGGCGAGCATTCTACCACTTGAGCCACAGTGCCACTTCTGGCCTTTTTCTGCTTATGTGGTGCTGAGGAATCAAACTCAGGGCCCCATGCATGCAAAGCAAGCACTCTACCACGGAGCCATCTTCCCAGCCCTGGATCAATCCCTTCTGAGAATGGTATTCCAAGACCTAATTACTTTCGATTAGGCCCTGCCTCCTAAAGATTTCATGATCTCCACACTGCCATAGTATGGATTTAGTACATATGCCATTGGGGAACACACTCAAACCATCCAAACCATAGCAGAACTCTAACCCTGGCAGAGTCAGAAGCCCAGATGAGCCAGAAAGGAGATCACGGACTCGAGATCTGAAGCCTACAAGGCAAGGTGCGTGCTAGGGAACACACAAAGCAAAGGCAGACATAGAGGTGAAAAGAAACACCCCAGGGATGGAGGAGGACAGTGGGAGGCGGCGCTGGCCAGGATGCACTGTGCTCATAAACCGACATGTGTGTATAATTAAAGACCATGAAACCATGATAATAAAAAAAGAAGTACATCAAGGACCAATTTATCCCAGCATTCCCTGGGTTTGTCACCAGCAAGTCCGAGAGAGAAGAAGTTGATACTAAGACATACTAAGGTATAAAAGAGACTATCAGCTGGGCACTGATGGCTCACACCTGTCATCCTAGCTACTCAGGAGACAGATCTGAGGATCGTGGTTCAAAGCCAGCCCAGGCAGGAACATCTGTGAGACTTTTATCTCCAATTAACCACCAGAAAACTGGACGTGGCACTGTGTCTTAAATGGTACAGCATTTTTCCTTGAGCTGAAGAGCTAGAGACAGTGCCCAGGCCCAGAGTTCAAGCCCCGAGACTGACAGAGAGAGAGAGAGAGAGAGAGAGGAGAGAATCAAAGCTATATATAGTGCATTCAACAGTATCTTATTCCACTCTCTCTCACTCTAACACCACCTGAACGAAGCAATGTCCTCCCCTGTAGCATTAACCTATGGAATGGGCTAATAGGAGGAGGAGAAAAACCACCTCCTTTTAGAAAGTGAAAAGCTGGTGTGTAAACAAGGGCTGACTTGACAGACATGGAAAACTCCATGTGAAGCACAATGCAGGAAGGCCAAGCATTTCCCACAGAGCTTAGCACTCCTGTGGTACCTGCTTTTAGAAATAGGGGAGAAGGCTGGGCGCCGTTGGCTCACACCTGTCATCCTAGCTACTCAGGAGGCTGAGATCTGAGGACTGTGGTTCAAAGCCAACTGGGCAGGAAAGTCTGTGAAACTCTTATCTCCAATAAACCACCAGAAAACCAGAAGAGGCGCTGTAGCTCAAGTGCTAGTGTGCTAGCCTTGAGCTGAAGAGCTGAGGGACAGCGCCTGGGCCCAGAGTTCAAGCCCCACAACTGACCAAAAAAACAAACAAAAAACAGAAGAAAAGAAATAGGGGCAAAGGGTGTGGCTAGCACTACAGGGGACTGGTTGAAAATCCATGTACGAAACAGGCCTAGAAACATTTACTGTAGCTGAAGCAATGATTACCTTAACACTCAAGATTATGTTCGTTAAGGACCATTTCTCACTTCAAAAAGAATAGCATGAGAGATTTTTGGGAAAAAAATAAGACATTCCAAGTCTGAAGTGAGAAATGTACAAATAAGCTTAAAACATGTTGTCTTATGAATTAAAAAGGAAACTATCAAAATCTATTAAGCCTAGTGTAAACAAGCTCAGGAGCCAACTCAAAGCTGCTCCTACTGCCTAAAGATGCTGCAGAAGTTCTGCTCAGTGAGGACTGCATTCTCTTGGAATGCATGTATTTATTATGGTATTAAAAAATCCTGCTGGGCACTGGCAGCTTATGCCTACAATCACAGCTACTCAGGAGGCTGAGATCTGAGGATCCCAGTTGGAAGCCAGATCTGGTGGGAGAGTCCATAGGCCATAGGCCTCTCCAATTAACTACCAAAAAGCCAGAAGTGGAGGTGTGGTTCAAGTGGTTGAGCACAAAGCCAAGTGAGAACATGAGGCCCTGTTCAAGCCCAAGCGCAAGCACAAAAATAAACGAATAAACAAACACATAGTTTTTAAACATTACTACATATAAACGATCTCTTTGGAGGTTGACTAGGAATGAGTTCATTATCCTAAAAACTGGTAAAGGAATGGAACGAATGGAGTGTTTTGTTTTTTAAGTGTGTAATTGGGTCACAGAGTAGTTGTTGAAAGGAAAATGGTTGGCTACACAGATGTAACAAGACAAAAGACTATTTTTTTGTTCTTTTCTAAACAGCCTCGTCGTTCTCCTAACCAATTTGCAAGCATGCACACAGCCTGGAGGAGATTTACAATGCATCACAATAAACAGAGCTGACAGCCTTTAAAACAGGCACGCTCACACTCTACACCTGCGTGCTCACACGACGGGCCTCCGACGGATCCAAGTCAGAGTGGATATATTAAAAACAAATGCATAAAGCGATGATGCCTTTGGGCAGTCAGTCAGTCGAGGCTCAATCACAGCGGAACCCTGGTGTTCACAGGCGTTCACAGCCTGGAGGAAAGGACTCACCCGGACGGCAGATTCCCCCCGCCCACAGCGCGACCCGGACCGCCGCGGCCTTGCGTCCCTCGCGCCGCCCCGTAGTTCGCGGCGCGCGCCGATTCAAACCGCCGGGGCCGTTGGCGGCGAGTGCCGGCGCGGGTTTGGTCCGGGACGCGCGGGACGGAAACTTTGCGGACGTCCTCGGGCCGCCAGGTCCTCCTCCAGCGAGCCCCAGCGCTGGTGAGGGGCGCGGCGGGGCGGGGGTCTGTCCCGGGGTGCGGGGCTGGCGTCTGTCCCGGGGTGCGGGGCGGGGGTCTGTCCGGGGTGCGGGGCGGGGGTCTGTCCCGGGGTGCGGGGCTGGGGTCTGTCCCGGGGTGCGGGGCTGGGGTCTGTCCCGGGGTGCGGGGCGGGGGTCTGTGTCCGGGGTGCGGGGCTGGGGTCTGTCCCGGGGTGCGGGGCTGGGGTCTGTCCCGGGGTGCGGGGCTGGGGTCTGTCCCGGGGTGCGGGGCTGGGGTCTGTCCCGGGGTGCGGGGCGGGGGTCTGTGTCCGAGGTGCGGGGCGGGGGTCTGTGTCCGAGGTGCGGGGCGGGGGTCTGTGTCCGAGGTGCGGGGCGGGGGTCTGTCCCGGGGTGCGGGGCTGGGGTCTGTGTCCGGGGTGCGGGGCTGAGGTCTGTGTCCGAGGTGCGGGGCGGGGGTCTGTCCCGGGGTGCGGGGCGGGGGTCTGTGTCCGGGGTGCGGGGCTGGCGTCTGTGTCCGGGGTGCGGGGCTGAGGTCTGTCCCGGGGTGCGGGGCGGGGGTCTGTGTCCGGGGTGCGGGGCTGGCGTCTGTGTCCGGGGTGCGGGGCTGAGGTCTGTCCCGGGGTGCGGGGCTGGGGTCTGTGTCCGGGGTGCGGGGCTGGCGTCTGTCCCGGGGTGCGGGGCTGGGGTCTGTCCCGGGGTGCGGGGCGGGGGTCTGTCCCGGGGTGCGGGGCGGGGGTCTGTCCCGGGGTGCGGGGCGGGGGTCTGTGTCCGGGGTGCGGGGCTGAGGTCTGTGTCCGGGGTGCGGGGCTGGGGTCTGTCCGGGGTGCGGGGCGGGGGTCTGTCCCGGGGTGCGGGGCTGAGGTCTGTGTCTGGGGTGCGGGGCTGGCGTCTGTCCCGGGGTGCGGGGCTGAGGTCTGTGTCCGGGGTGCGGGGCTGGCGTCTGTGTCCGGGGTGCGGGGCTGAGGTCTGTCCCGGGGTGCGGGGCTGGCGTCTGTGTCCGGGGTGCGGGGCTGGGGTCTGTCCCGGGGTGCGGGGCTGGCGTCTGTGTCCGGGGTGCGGGGCTGGGGTCTGTCCGGGGTGCGGGGCTGGGGTCTGTGTCCGGGGTGCGGGGCTGGGGTCTGTCCGGGGTGCGGGGCTGGGGTCTGTGTCCGGGGTGCGGGGCGGGGGTCTGTCCCGGAGTGTGGGGCTGGGGTGGGTGTCCGGGGTGCGGGGCTGGGCCCGAGGGCGAGTCCCCATCGCGAGGCGGGAAGCACCGGCCTCCCCGGGAACCCCCTCCGCCAGGGTGGCTTCTGACTTCCGGCCGGGCCCGTCCCCGCCGGGGGAGCACCGCCAGCTCCGCGGGCCTCCTCCCGGGCGGCCTCCTCCCCGGCGGCCTCCTCCCCGGCTGGCTGGCCGGCCTCCTCCCCGGCGGCCTCCTCCCCAGACGGCCTCCTCCCGGGCGGCCTACTCCCGGCTCGGGGCAGGCGGGCTGGCGGGGGGCAGAGCAACCCGCGGGCTTCGGGGTTCTCGTAAACGAAGTATGGTTCCTAGAATTGCGGGATGAAGTGAGAGTTAGTAGTGTAAGGTTAGCCCAGAGTAAGCTGGCCTTCTTCACCCTGCAGCATAACTGTGCCAATGGAAGGAATCAGCAATTTCAAGACACCAAGCAAATTATCTGAAAGAAAGAAATCTGGTAAGATGGCGGATGGTTGTTGCTACTAGAAATGCTTAGCATTTTGTTTTGTAATTTTTTTAAACAAATGTTTCGTGTCTTTAGGCATACGTCACCTTCATAATGTTAACTTTAACCAATAGGACTAATTGACTAGGACATAGTTTGTTATCACGGGCTAATTTTACTGGCGTTCTTAGGATCTGGAGGTTCTGCCTGGTAAAAAAATCAATCTGGGGCTGGGAAGGTGGCTCAGTGGTAGAGCGCTTGCCTTGCATGCCAGAGGCCCTGGGTTCGATTCCTCAGCACCATATAAGCAAAAAGAAAAAAAAGCCGGAAGTGGCACTGTGGCTAAAGTGGTAGAGCGCTGCTAGCCTTGAGCTGAAGAGCTGAGGGACAGCGCCCAGGCCCAGAGTTCAGGCCCCACGACCGGACCCAAAAAAAAAAAATCAATCTCCCTTTAACCACTTAGGGATTGCTTTGATTTTACTCCTCCCTATATCCATTGCTCTGAGGTAAAGATGTTTTTTAAGTCAACTCAATGCACAAAAAGAAAACCTTTAGATATCCATGTATAGACAGTGAACCTTTACTCTTAACTTACATCAGATACAAAATGGCTGAAATTAGAAAATTTCCAGACATTATCATAGAAGAATCTTATATTTACTCCTTCTATTAGCTTGTGTGTATGTGTCTGTGTGCGTGTGCACGCATTGGTACTGGGGCTTTTGCCCTCAGAGCCTTGAGCTCTTGCTTAGCTTGCAGGTTTTTTTTGCTCATGGTTGGTGCTCTACTTCTGGCCTTTTTTCCCCCCCAGCTGGAGCTTGAACTCAAGGCTTTAATGCTGTCCCTGAGCTTCTCTTGCTCAAGGCTAGCACTTTACCACTTGAGCCACAGTGCCACTTCCAGCCTTTTCTGAATACTTTATTGGAGATAAAAGTCTCACAGACTTTCTTGCCCCAGCTGGCTTTGAACTGCCTTCAGAGCTCAGCCTCCTGAGTAGCTAGGATTACAGGCATGAGCCACCACCCCCTGGCTGTGTTTTGCTTTTTAACTGGAGATAAGAGTCTCATAGACTTTCCTACCCCAGCCATGGTCCTTAGCTTCTTGGCCTCCTGAGTAGCTGAGGTAGGTGGTTGACTACAGACAGGAGCCACCTGTGCTCAGCAACATTAAAAAAGACAAAAATTCTTTACAATGTTATATATTGGTAACATGTAGATGAAAACATTTAATTTTTTCCCCCTCAACCTATACTTTTTTCCTTACCACACTGTGTTCAGCATGTTTTTAAGTAGAAGTGTATGTGGACACACTGTACTTGCCTTGTACCCAGTACAGTGTATTACATGTGGGCTTTTCACAGATCTTTAACAGGTTGGACAATTTTCCTTTTGTCCCTTTTCTTGGGATGTTGAATTTTATGAAGTGTTTTTTCTTAATCTGTTGCCATAAAGTTTGTCTAATCTTATCACTTTTGCAAATTATGTTAATGAAAATTAACACAGTATCAAAAAAACCTTTCTTATGGGGCTGGGAAGGTGGCTCAGTGGTAGAGCGCTTGCCTTGCATGCCTGAGGCCCTGGGTTCGATTCCTCAGCACCACATAAGCAAAAAGAAAAAAGCTGGCAGTGGCGCTGTGACTCAAGTGGTAGAGCGCTAGCCTTGAGCTGAAGAGCTGAGGGACAGCGCCCAGGCCCAAAGTTCAGGCCCCACGACCGGACCCCCCCCAAAAAAAACAAAAACAAAAAAAAAACCTTTCTTATGGAACTTTAAAAAATGAAAAATATAGTGGTTAAGAATAACATCTCAGCTGGGGCGCTAGTGGCTCATGCCTGTAATCCTAGCTACTCAGGAGGCCAAGATTTGAGGATAGAGGTTCAAAGCCAGCCTGGGCAAGAAAGTCTATGAACCTCCTATCTCCAATAAACTACCAGAAAACCAGCAGTGGTGCTATGGTTCAAGTGATAGAGCACTAGCCTTATGCTGAAGAGCTCAGGGACAGCACCCAGGCCCAGAGTTCAAGCCCCACAACCGACAAAAAAAAAAAAAAAAAAAATTAAAATAACAGAATGGAAGAAAGGTTAATTGAACTTTAAGACATAGTGACAAAAATAATCAGAATGAACACAGAGGAAAGATAAGGGTGAAAAAAAAATCAGTGAATGATGAGACACTTGCAAAATAGTAGATGCAAATTCAACCAGATAACTTTATTAAGTGTAAATATGCTGATGAAGTCTTACCAATAAACTCTGCCCTGAGGAAGATGTTCTGTACAGAAATCACAGTACATGGGCTGGGAAGGCGGCTCAGTGGTAGAGTGCTTGCCTTGCATGCCTGAGGCCCTGGGATCGATTCCTCAGCACCACATAAGCAAAGAGAAAAAAAAAAGCCAGAAGTGGCGCTGTGGCTCAAGTGGTAGAGCGCTAGCCTTGAGCTGAAGACCTGAGGGATAGCGCCCAGGCCCAGAGTTCAGGCCCCACGACTGGACCCCCCCCCCCCCCCAAAAAAAAAGAAAACACAGTACATATGTAACTGAGCACTGGAAAATGGAGTTAGTACAAATGAGGAACTGAGTTTCTCATTTTATTTAATTTTGATTAATTCAAATCCAAACTTAAGTAATCATGGCTAATGGCAGTCTAATCACAGGAAGTCATCTGAGTGTATAAAAATGAAACAAAATGTATCTTCAATAGAACTTTAAGAGTGTTAGGATGGGGCTGGGAAGGTGGCTCAGTGGTAGAGTGCTTGCCTTGCATGCATAAGGCCCTGGGTTCGATTCCTTAGCATCACATAAGCAGAAAAAATCAGAAGTGGCTCTGTGGCTCAAATGGTAAAGTGCTAGCCTTGAGCTGAAGAGCTGAGGGACAGTCCCCAGGCCCAGTGTTCAGATCCCAGGACCGACCAAAAACAATGTTAGGATGCTTTTGTAGAGGTCTCTTTAACTAAAATTTCATTTTAAAATTTCTCTTTCTGATATTTAGTATCATGTTTAACTCCAAGTGTAAACATTCCTGCCTCTCCATTTATGAAAAAGCTTGGCTTCGGGACGGGAGTGAATGTTTACCTAATGAAAAGGTATGTTGGAGAGTTCACACAAACCATTTTCTTGTAACCCATACTTGTATTGCACTGGATAAAAGGAACTGGAAATTCAGATATCCAAATGTAAGATGTGTTCCTGATCCTACCACACTGACTGCCGGAGCTCTGCCCGCCTTGCTTTTCTTTCTTGGTTAAAAGGGAAGTGGCTGAAGAAAGGTTTTCTTTATAGCATTAATGTCTTATAAGGAAACCTTATAATGGCTTATAAAGTCTCACAAGGAAACCTCAGGGAGAAAGCCAATGGTATGGACAATGCATGTCCTATCTGGAGGGTTGTCTCCGTAGGATCTTCTGGTCTAACTAATCTGGGCTCTTATTTCTTATGGCATCGTGGTTAAAATGAGGAAATGGCTGGTCTTTAAGTGGAAAATTGTGTTTGAAGAAAGATGAAGTAATTGAACAAGTAGGGTGCTCCTAGCTAATAATAAAGACATCAACAGATGGGTTTTCTGGAATTTCTTTTAACATTACCTAGTTTCATGCTTGTTATATGTATGCCTTAATGTATTCTTAGAATCAGCCTGACTAGTTTAGCCTTTTTCTTAGGATATCTTTGCTTCATCTAGTTTGTGTTATTTCCACACAGACATGCTTTCTTTTTTGTTAAGCAGAGCTGGGGTTTGGACTTGGTCTCCCATTTGCTAGTCATGTACCCTACCACTTTGACAACTCCTCCCTGGTCTGGACTACATGGTCCTTTGTGATTCTCCACATAGTTGGGACAGAGGTATCTGTCACCACCCCTAGCCATTTTGCTTCTTTGTGGCCAGGATGATAGAATGTACCACCAAGGCCAACCATTGGTTGAGATGTAATCCCATAAACTTGGTGCCCTGGCTGGTCTTGAACCATGGCCTGGAAACTCCACTTTCCAAGTAGCTTGGATTACTGGCTTTATTAAATACTTATAAATACTAATTTTATTAAAAGTCTAGTTGAGAATATTCTCAATTAGGGTGAGAATGGGATTGAACCTAGGGCTATCACAGAGCTACACTCTAGCTCTTACACAAAGCTGTTCAACTAAGCCATATATAAGACGTTCTTATTGTCTATTTTTTAAAAATGTCATCTGTGTTCTGTTGTCTGTCTCTCCCATGCTTTTTGATCCTCATATGGTCTTTTCTTTGTCATCAGTGTTCTGAAGTTTCACAGTGATTTAAAAAACTACAATGTCGTGTGTCCTGTGTCCCATTCCCCCTCTCATCTCCCCCCCCCCCCCGCTTTTTTTTGGGGGGGGGGAAGGATCCGGTTATGGGCCTGAACTCTGGGCCTGGGCGCTGTCCCTCAGCTCTTCAGCTCAAGGCTGGCACTCACCACTTGAGCTATAGCACCACTTCTGGCTTTTTTTTTTTTTTTCCTGCTTATGTGGTGCTGAGGAATCGAACCCAGGGCCTCATGCATGCAAGGCAAGCACTCTACCACTGAGCCACCTTCCCAGCCCTCCTCCCCCGCCCCCCGCCCCCCACTTTTTAAAATCTGGAATCCTGTTTGAATGTTAACTTACTGGCTGATCTTTTATTTTTGTTCCATTATCCTACTTTTTATCTTTTTTTTTTTCATTCTGTTCTCTGCAAGGTTTTATCAACTTTATATTCTGAGGCTTCTTGGCTTTTTTTTTTCTATATTTTTAGTTGTCTTTTAAAACAATTGCACCCTAAGTATTTTGGGAGTACTAAGAACATTCTAAATCTTAAGGTTAAATTTTGTCTTGCTCTTCTGAAGTTCTTCCCCTATCTTTGGACTTTTATACTATATACTTGTCAGATAAACCTTTCCCTGAATTTTTTTTTCTTTACTGCCTTATGTAAGACTCTATTAAAATGGCCAAGTACAAAATTAAAATTTGACATTTTTCTCATTTATATATTCATTATTCTCCCCTTACGCCTGCCTTAGCATGTGTGAGAGGGAAAGATGGCTTTTGTGTTGAGGTGCAGTGCTGTTCTTCAGGTAATCATAGAGGGGCCACGTGGGTCTCATCTCTTCTCAAGTTAAATTTCATAAATTTCATTATTACTGCAGCATCCTATACATCATCTCTGATACATATAACTATTATAAGTAGTTTGCATCCTGACATGCTGAAGTAGGAAAGTTAAACATTGTCATTTTCAAATTTGGCTTTTTTTTCCATTTCCTGCAGTTGGACGGTCAGAGGCGCAGAGGCATTGAACCTTTGTGTTCCTCCCCTAGAGTACCCTTCTTTGGTCTCACTCTGTGAATACCTTAGAAACCACTATCACATTTGACATTTATAACGCTTATAACATCCCCTCTTCATGCTTCCTCCTCCTCCCAGTGTTTAATTGATCAGGCAGTCATCCTCTGGTTGAAATAGAACTTCAGATAGTCTAAAATACTGTTAAGAATAGTTAAACATTATAAAAAACTAGAAAGTTCTTGTTATCATTGAAAATGTATTATAGTTTTTATTCATTTTTATACTTTTAAGCTTATATATATGTGTGTATATACATACACATTTAGATCTCCAAGAGGCCTGTCTCATTCTCCCTGGGCTGTAAAAAAGATAAATCCTATATGTAATGATCATTATCGGACTATTTACCAGAAGAGACTAACTGATGAAGCAAAGATTTTAAAAAGTCTTCATCATCCAAATATCATAGGTAAGTTTTAATTCAATGGTATTTTGTTATTCTGGATATCTAGAAACATTGTATACCCTTTCTTAGCTGGTTTTACTAATCAAAATGAAGTAGATACATAGATTGTTGGGAAGCAAATTAATATGAGCTATCTAAAATAAAAATGTGCATGAAATGCAAACTCCATAGTCATACCTCATGAGGATAAATGTAGCCACTACAGTGCTACAGTGAATTGGTCTCTATTAAGTAGTAAATTAGATTCCTGGTTTTCATTTTACTTTTTTGGTACATGTAAGGCTGCTGAAATCACTCTATTTAGGGAAGCATAAAATAGTAAAAATGTTTTGGCTTGTGCTAACAAGCTAACACCAACATCTAAAATTACACGTACTTAGTTTTGTACATAATAGCTATTTCATGGTTAGTGTTGATCCATGTTTTCAGTCCCATTACTGTAAAAACCAATTACCATTGTTTACCCTTTTCTAGTAAAGAAATGTTAACATTTTCTTTAGGTTATCGTGCTTTTACTGAGGCCAGTGATGGTAGTCTCTGCCTTGCTATGGAGTATGGAGGAGAAAAGTCTCTAAATGACTTGATAGAAGAGCGAAATAAAGAAAGCCAAGATCCTTTTCCAGCAGCTATAATTTTAAAAGTTGCCTTGCATATGGCGAGAGGACTGAAGGTAACCACCCCCTTACATTTACTGTGAGCTGGGATGAACTCAGAGTCCTTGAACATCGAATTACACAGTGAATGGTTTTGCCTCTCAAGGAGAGAGTCTTCCATTTCTTTATTTCTATCAGCAGAGAATTATTTGAAACCCTCACATTGGCTTGAAATAAGCTAAGGTAGTTTTGTAGTAGAAATCACATTAGATGGATTCATATACTTAGTACACATTTAGTAGTTATTCCTGGAGGTATACCCTAACCTACTCATTAATAAAAGCCAATTTCTTAATAATTTCTTAATCTTGATGGTGTAAGTTTTGACATTATTAAGTATACATATATAGGTCCAGTGAAAAATGCTTTCTTAGCTTGCTGGCTGAGGCCCAGGCTGGCCTCAAAGTACTGTCTTTCTGATTTCTACCTCTCAGGTAGCTGGGATTACAGACGTGAGCCATCGTGCCTGGTTCAACATTTTGTTGTTTTTTTAATTTTGAAATTTAATAAAATTTTATTCATATTTTCATATGTGTTTAATTTGTTACAATTTTAGTATCTGCACCAGGAAAAGAAACTGCTTCATGGAGATATAAAGTCTTCAAATGTTGTAATTAAAGGTGATTTTGAAACAGTTAAAATCTGTGATGTAGGAGTCTCTCTACCACTGGATGAAAATATGACTGGTAAGTAGCAGTATTTAAATCTTTTCTTTTGTTGTTGATGGTGGTAGTGGTGGTAGTGTTTGTGGGACTTGAACTCTAATCCTGAGGGCTGTCCCTCAGCTCTTCAGCTCAAGTCTAACACTGTACCACTTGAGCTACATCTCTACTTCTGGTTTTCTGGTGGTTAATGACGATAAAAGTCTCATGGACTTTCCTGCCCAGGTTGGCTTTGAACTGTGATTCTCAGATCTCAGCCTCCTGAGTGGCTAGGATTATAGGTGGAAGCCACCAATGTCCTGCTAAAATTTTTATCTAATTACAAAATGCCTAATATTTACATATTTATTTTATGTCAGTCCTGGGGCTTGAACCTAGAGCCCAGGTGCTTTCCCTGAATTTCTTTTTGCTTCAGGCTAGGGCTCTATCATTTGAGCCACAGTTCCACTTCCACTTTGGGTCATATAATTAGAGGTAAATGTCTCATAGTTTTTCCCGCCCTGGCTAGCTTCGAACTGCTATCCTCAGATTTCAGCCTCCTGAATAGCTGTGAGCGACTGGCTCCCACCAACAATTACATTTTATTTTATTTATTTATTTTTGGGTCCGGTCATGGGGCCTGAACTCTGGGCTTGGGCGCCATCCCTCAACTCTTCAGCTCAAGGCTAGCGCTCTACCACTTGAGCCACAGCACCACTTCCGGCTTTTTTCTTTTAGCTTATGTGGTGCTGAGGAATCGAACCCAGGGCCTCATGCATGCAAGGCAAGCACTCTTACCACTGAGCCACCTTCTCAGCCCCAACAGTTACATTTTAACATACATAATAAAAACTCATGCTTCAACATTGAACTTGAAAAGCAGATAATAAATGTCCTTCCTTGTTGGGTCTTCCTCTGTCTGGACGGATGGGGTCTGAGGAGAGGTAAGTGCAAAGTGAAGTGCGGCCGCTCAAGGGTCGCCTTCCCCAGCCTCCCTTAGCCCAGGAGACAATCAGACGCAGCAGGGTGTCAAGTCAAGCAGGAACTCCTTTATTAACAGGGAGCATCCCCTTTTTAAAGCAAAAGACTGCCTGGGAGGGGAGGAAATGGAACCAACCAATCACTGAAAGGCCACACCTTATCATGCACTTAAGCTTCCATGAGTTGTTTACACACTGAACCTAAACAAATCCCGCTCTGCCCACTCAACTTCCTCTCAGGGCCATCTTTGCTACCTGTGTTCCTCACAGATTTCCCCACACTTCTTCTTCTATGTTGCCTCCAGTTAGCCTTCAGTCCCCTCCCTTTCACATATATGATATAGATTATCAGCTTCTTATTAGAGAATGTGTGCCTATAGAAATACACACTATTAAAATTCAAAGATATACATTGTTAAGTTTTATTTTCTTGGAGGGATAGGGTCTTAATATTCAGGTCTTAAATTCAAGATCCTGCTTCCAAGTGTTGGGATTGTAGCATGTTGCACCACATTTAACTCTTAACTCATAGAATTTGAAAGCTATAAAACATCTGAGATGGGCTGGGAATGTGGCTTAGTAGTAGAGTGCTTGCTTAGCATGCATGAAGCCCTGGGTTTGATTCCTCAATACCTCATGAACAAAAAGCTAGAAGTGACGCTGTGGCTCAAGTACTAGCCTTAAGCAAAACAAGTGTAGGGACAGTGCCCAGGCCCTGAGTTCCAGCCCAAGGACTGGCAAAAAAAATTAAAAATTTAAAATGTGAGAATGGAAAATAGGATTTTGATGAGATTTTTTAAAAGGGATGTAGTTTTAGTAACAGAAGATTTGGGAAATGGTAGAAGAAACTGGCATGGAACCAGGAAAGAGGAATGCTACAAAAAGCCATTTTGTGTTTGCCTGTTGGCACAGCCTAACTCATTCTTGTTTTGTTTTTTATTATTATAAATACTGACCATTCTCTTAATGTTCTTGATGAGGAATCAGCCATGAGAATGCTTTTCTTTTAAAATATTCTTTAGCCCAATAACTAGTGAATTTGTTTCTATTAATTTGTTAGAGGTAGTTCATGAATGCTGTTGAAAAATTCCGTTATCATTGGCAGAACTCCATAATATTTAAGAATAAATTCAATGAAAGTATATGGTCTCTACTTAAAAGAATCACGGAGATGTAATTACAGTGGAGAAAACTACCATGAGTGGTATATTGAAAGACTTGATACTGTTCCTGTTAGATCTTAGATTCATCTACAGACTTAATTCAATTCTTGCTGGGTTTTTCATTGAAATTAACAAGATGACTGGTAGTTGGAGGGAATGTCATTCCAAGGTAAACTCTTTAAGGGCCCACATCTGATTTGGCCCTCCTTCCATCTCCTGACTGATCAGTCATGGAGGCAGAGACAGCACAGGCCAGGCAATGGGCTCAAGCCCACAGCTTGCACATGTCCTTGAAGCCAGGCAACAAAATTTGGGCTCTTGAGTCTGTAATCTGGACCTTCAAGTCTATATACCTCTCATCTACCAAGAGAATTGCCAACTAGGCAGCTTTTAAAATGTTTTAGCCTGATGGAGAAACAATAATCCTTATTAGTGAATGTTTTCATGCTTAATGGATATACAATTGACTTGTGAATTCCTTATTCAAATTATTTGCCCATCGTTCTTTGGTTGCTTATCTTCATGATTTCTGGTGCCTTGCCTCAGGACTATTTTGCCTGTTGTTTTGTTTCAGTGACTGATCCTGAGGCCTGTTATATTGGTACTGAGCCATGGAAACCCAAGGAAGCTTTGGAGGAAAATGGCATTATTACTGACAAGGCAGACATATTTGCCTTTGGCCTAACACTTTGGGAAATGATGACTTTATCTATCCCACACATTAATCTGTCAGATGATGATGATGATGATGAAGGTACAAATTGAAAAGTTTTAAATTTTTTTCTTTCACTTTTTTGAAAAATAGCATCTCTCTTCCCTAATGCTAGTTTATGTATGCTATTATGTCATTCCAGTACAATTTAAAAGATTAATTTGTTTTATTTAGTAGCATAGTTTCTAAGATGCAGATTAATTAATACTGGTGACTAATTTGGTTAGGTTTAATAGCCTAGTCAAACATGTTGATACAGAATAGGGTGATATATTAAGATCTAGAGGAATGGTTTCCTTAAGAATCCTCCTTACAGCTGGGTGCCAGTGACTCATGCCTGTAATCCTAGGAGGCTGAGATCTGAGGATCGAGGTTCAAAGCCAGCCCAGGCAGGAAAGTTCTTGTGACTCTTATCTCCTATAAACCACTAGAAAACCAGAAGTAGTGCTATGGTTCAAGTGGTAGAGTGCTCACCTTGAGCTGAAGAGTGCAGGGACAGTGCCCAAGCCCAGAGTTCAAGCCCCATGACTGGCCCCCCCCCCCCCCCAAAAAAAAAGTCCTCCTTATCTGAGATTAGAAAGTTATCATAGATAGGGTTGGGGGTAAGAGTCCTATAAATCTAAAGACATTTTCTAATCTGCCTGGTAGTGAGATGAACAAAGAGATCATTTGTGGTGTTATCTGGAAAGCACACTGATAAATTCTTGTTTCTGGAGGGTGACCTATTAATTAAACTTATCTATGAACTTAACTGATAGTTTCTTGTTTTAATCTCTCTCCTTCATGAGCAGATAAAACTTTTGATGAAAGTGACTTTGATGATGAAGCATATTATGCTGCATTGGGAACCAGACCACCTATTAATATTGAAGAACTGGATGAGTCTTACCAGAAAGTAATTGAACTCTTCTCTGTGTGCACCAATGAAGATCCGGAAGATCGTCCTTCTGCTGCTCAGATTGTTGATGCTTTGGAGCTAGATGAGGAGTGACCATGTTCACACTCACCTCAGCATGAAGTATGGCTTGTGTTTATAACCGTTCTCTTCACTCAATGTTTAGTTGCCATGGTCTGTAGTCATTGTACTCTGGACGGCCTATTTTAGGGCCATATTCTTAGCATAAGCACTTGGTGTACTGGGGTTTTCTGGGTCTAACATTAATTTGAATCGAGTAACTGTTACATTTATTAAGAATCTCAGATATTCTCTTTTACTGGATCTGTAAAATTAGCACTTTATGTGGTACAAAGTAAGTGTACATATATTTAGCTGAACTTCCTTGGCTGTTGTGTTTATTAAATGGTCTCTGGGACCTGAGGAGGCATGATGCACTCTGTGGGTATCCTAGACTCTCCTTACAGTTTGTCCTGCTGCCTCAGCTCTCCCCAGACCTTTGGTGTTTAATTTATTAAATTTGTTTTCCATACTGAGATTGTTTAGTTTTTATTTACTAATCTGTATCCTAAGAAGCATTTCAAAGCTGTGTTGAAAGAATAATAGGACAATACAGAATAAAAGACAGTTTGAGTACCAGAAAGTGTCTCAGCGTTATTTTATGCTCTAATTGGAGTGTTGTCATTAATGTGGTGAATGAATGTTAATGGGTTTCTTTTGCTTTCAACCTTATTTTCTTAATCTGAAAAATGAGGTGGATTTGGATCAGTAGTTTCTGTGATCCACAGCTCCTGGGAACTTTCAAAATTACTGAACTATAATTGTGAACCTTGGGTTCTGTACCCAGGCTTGTCTACACAATTTAAAAAATTACTGTCAACAGGAGAAATTCTAATTAAGAACCATCATTTTCTGAGCTATAAAAAATTGTTCAAACTGCTGGGTGCCAGTGGCTCATACCTCTAATCCTAGCTAGTCAGGAGGTTGAGATCTGCAGCAGGACCAGCAGGAAAATCCATGAGATTCTTTATTTCCAATTAAGCACCAAACAAGCTGGAAATAGAGCTGTGGCTCAAGTGGTAGAGTACTAACTTTGAGCCAAAAAGCTCCGGGACAGTGCCCAGGCCCTGAGCCACCACATCAGTCAACAGTAATTTTTTTAAGTGTTAGGCATCAAGAGGTAGTTAAATTTGACATGGCTGTGGCTTAGTTGGCTAAATTCCTTCTTTTTTTTTTTTTGGTCCGGTCGTGGGGCCTGAACTCTGGGCCTGTGCGCTGCCTCTCAGCTCTTCAGCTCAAGGCTACGCTCCACTACTTGAGCCACAGCGCCACTTCCGGCTTTTTTTCTTTTTGCTTATGTGGTGCTGAGGAATCGAACCCAGGGCCTCAGGCATGCAAGGCAAGCCCTCTACCACTGAACCACCTTCCCAGCCCCTAAATTCCCTGTCTTGTAAAAGGTAATTGCTTTTGAGTAAGATGGTAATGATAGTTAAGATGACTGAATTGTTGGCATTGCTTTCATTTTGCGGGGGTAGAGGGGAGGTGGAGGGTGCATCAGTCCTGGGGCTTGAACTCAAGGCCTAGGCACTGTCCCTGAGCTGCTTTTGCCCAAGGCTAGTACTCTACCTCTTAAGCCACAGCACCACTTCTGGCTTTTTCTGTGGTACTGAGGAATTGAACCCCGGGCTTCATGCATACAAGGCAAACACTACCACTAAGCCATAATCCTAGCCTATGCTTTCATTTTTAAACTGTGTGGTATGAAAATATTTTGTGATAGATCATAGAGTTCATTTTTTAAAAGTATAATTTCATATTTATAGAAAAGCTGCAAAGACTTTTATACTTCTACTATTCACTCTGTTTTTCATTGCTAAATTTGCCACCACAGACCAGTTTACCAGGTTGCAAAATAATTATGTATTAATCTGAAGTAATGTGTATACTTATAGCCAAAGGAGGATTTTTATGATAAAATTAAAAAAATTAGCATTCAGCTTCCCAAGAAACAATTTTAAGAATACTTTTTATTATCTTACCACAAAAGCATTCAACCAAAAAAATAAAGCTAATAGAAATTTGAATAAAACATTTAGAAGAATTTCAAAACAATGCAGAAAATAGCATTAGGATGTTTTGGCATAATTGCAAACATTTTAACACTTTCACATTCTCTTTGGAACCAGGTTAACTATTAAATAAAGATGGCAGATGAAGAGTAATACAACCTAAAAAAGAATCCTTGAATTATATGGCTGAGAATGAAAACAGCTCAAATACATTTTGCTTTGCAAGTTAAGTCTCTCAACGAGCAACCTCATCCATTGGAGCATCTGGTTCTGTTAATGACCACAGTGACCAGTGACAAGTACTCTAATGTAGCACGCCAATATTCTCATTTGACAGAAATGAATGGAATAGTGCAGAACAGAACTTAAAATTTCAAGCAAGTGTAC